AAGGTATAATCCTAAGGCATCAAAACTTTGACCTTGAGATTTATTGATAGTCATAGAAAAAGCTAAGGTAAATGGAAATTGTTTTCTGTACAATATAAATGGTAGCAAAGAAGAATTGTTTGTTTGTAGTGTTATTCTTGGAATAAAGACTTTATTTCCTTTTTTTTCACCTGTGATTATTTCAGCTTTGATGTTGTATTTAAATAATTTTTTAATTCTTAATCTTGTACCATTGCAAAGTCCTTCAGATATGTTTAAGTTTCGAATCAACATAACAATAGCGTTAATTTTCAAATTTAATTCATGTGGAGAAAGATCTTCTTTAAAACTTTTCAAATATTCTGTACGGAAATGAATATATATACATTATCGTCTGATTTATTTACTTCTTTGTGAGTTGCTTTATCAATACTTTTATACGTTACTAATGTTCCTACCATATTATTTAAACTTTTTTGTTAAAAAAATGTGTGATTTCATTGCGAGATGTTAATATAGCCTTACTTATAAAAGAATCCTTATCATTATTAAAAATTTTAGAACATACATCATTTGTTTTCTATGTCTGAGGAATTATAAAAGTTCTAATTTTGCCTTCTCCTATATCCAGTAGCAAAGAAGAAATAGTAGTTTTCCTACGAGTTTGAAAAGTCTCTGTTTGCGAATCGAGAGGTTTTGCGGCCCGAGCCAAAGGCGAGGGACGTAACGAGGTTCGTAAAGGAGACTTTTCAAACGAGCTCCGGAAAACTGCTTTTTCGCCCGAGGAAGTACCAGCCTCCTAAAACCACCCGAGGGCGGATAATTTTTTATCAATTGAATGTATATTATTTTTTTAAGAAAAAATATTAAATAAAGGCCAACAATTGGAAAATTTTATGGTTTCTTGAACAATAGTAATTTTCCTTCCGTTTTTTACCACTGGGAGAATTTGACGAAAGTCTCCACCTAAAATTATTATTTTATTTCCAAAAGGCTTATTACTACTAGATAAATCTTTTAAAGTCCTATCACCGATTTCTAACGCTTTTTTTGGTATCATAGAAGCTTTATCCAAAATAATTACTTCTACATTACGTAATTTTTGTTTATCTGGCTCAAACTGGAAGAATGCACTTTCTATAGTGCTTGAGTCTAAAGGAAGTCTGACAGTTCTGTGAGTAGTCATTCCCTTTAGGAGCAGAATAAAAGCAATAACTGTCCAAGCCATTGTAAGAATTCTTTTTCAATTGATATGAAATAATAAATTAATGTTTTGTATAGAAAAGTTTTTCCAGATCCACCAGGACCATCGATGAAAAAATTTTTTTTTTTTAAATTTCATTATTTCTTGAAAAATTCGACGTTGATCATGACTGAGTTGTGAAAATATTTCATGGAATTTATGTTTACAAAATATTCTTTTATCATTGTCAGTATCNATCCACCACTTTCTTCGAGCTCTAACATTATCGCTAGAACACTATGCTTGAGTGGGCTTTATGTTATTTTTTTCCATACAGGCTATTGCTTCTGAGAACTCTATAAAGCGTTTTAATGGAAAGTTGTATACTTCATTTGTTACTGATTTTTTTAATTTTGCACTTGTAGCTGCAATTTTTCATGAATTACTTTTTAACTTTCACATTAGTTATACTTCCATCTGAAATTTAGGTATCATAAGAACAAAAACTTTTCTTATCTTGCATGTCACAATAAACTTTCAACAAAAAAAGTACTATCTTGATAGATTAACTGCACTACGTATACAAATTACTATCTTCTGGTGAAAGGCCTTTCTAAACTATCGCTGACGCAGCCAGTCAGCTCAAATAAACAAAAAAAAGTTTTTCGAGATTCTATTAATACATCAAGATTATCGATAGCTTCAACTTTTCAAGAGATGCAGAACAGAACAATTGCGCCTTTCCGTTTTAGTGTGATCAGTTGTGCATCGCGTACATCACGATGGTTCGGTAGATAGGCGCTTCCGTAGTTACTGTTTATACAAACGCACACGTACAAGGCAGTTCTACTGCTGATACATCTTGCTTTTTTGTCAAGCCTTCACGCCCGTGTCTCGTGTTGTTGTTGTGTCATCATTAAAAAATGATTGCCTTACGTACAGTGTTTACATGCTGCAGTGCCGCAGCCATGCCTCTCAAACGCACAAACGCACATGTAACTGTCAGTAGAAATCCTTAAGGTAATCATCTTTGTACGTACAGCAGGGATGGATTGAGAGAGGTAACCGCCATAGGCTACAAATTTTTAGGCCCCCTTTTTTGTCTTATGAAAAAAAACTTATAAATTCAAACAGCTGTTTAGGTAATATTAAATATAATTTCCAGGGCTACTTTATTTAAGTTAAATAAAATTAAGGTCTCTTTTAAGGTAGTAGTTCAGTAAAACGACTAGACGATAAATTTTTCTAAAATTTTGCGTGTGGCTTAGGTTTGATATAGTTCATCACGAGTCTAAATATGGAGATGCCTAGCCGTGTAATTTCGGAGATATTAAAGTTTTACTGTTGATCTTTTAACTCGTGAGAGATAGGAAAGCGCCTGGTTCGGGGTAGGATACTAAACGAAATCATTCATAACTTCCAAATGAAATGATCAATCTTTTAAAAAAAACGATATGTTGTACTCAATACTATAAATAAACTAAATACCAAGTCTCAAGAAGCCTAGCCGTACAGTTTTTGTATTTCAGCTTTCCAAAGTTAAAAACTTTTTTGTAGTTGCGTGAGAGGGACAATGGCAGCTGTACAGTAAAGACTGCATAACCTATGCGTACTCTATAGTACAGTATGCCACACGATATACTGAACTAAACTACTGCTTTAAGTACTATAATGCAGCCATGCGATAACTTACATAGTTTATTCAAATTATTTACAGAAAAGGTTCAAGAAGTCAATACAATAAGTAAAAAGTCAGTCTTGACTGTTATATAAATTACAAGGATTGTTTTTTAATTCAAATTTGAGTAACGTTTTTCATTTAAATTTTAACATTATTTTGAAAATTTTTCAGTGATACATTATAAATAGTAAGAGTACACGTATTTTTATTACATAAAGTTATTTTAAAAAATGACATTCGTTTCTTATTTAGATAGAAATTGTGAACCCTCCTGATTCATATTTATTTAAACTTTCACAACATTACTTGTCTAGCTTTTTTTTTGGCAAATGACTGTATCACATCCTCGTAGTCCAGAGATCTTAGAAATTGTGATTCTATGATAAGTACAGCGAAAGCATTTAGTCTGACCTCTGTCATCAAAGATCTTAAATAATTTTTGACACGACGCAACCAAGAAAAACTGCGTTCTCCCGTGCAGTTTGTCGAAGGAACACAAACACTCATGCAAAGAGCGACATCGACGTTTGGGTATATACTCTGCAAATCTTCGTTGCGAATCAACTTCAATAATTGCGTTGTTGTCTGTAATTTTTCAGAACTCAAAGGGCAGTGAGCACCAAAATGTACACATTCACCGGAAAACGTTTCTTCGAGATCATCAGGAAATATCTTTTGTAATTCGTTCGCTTTTTGACGAATATCAACTGAACGCAAATTTGACAAGTTAATGAGGAATAAAAATTTATCATGAAATCGCTGGTATGCATCGCGTCGCTTTTTAAACTCACTCAGAAGATTATCAATGATGACTAGAAAAGTACTGATTCGTAAGTCTTCTCGTCCGGTTAATTTAACTTCTTCTCTTGCAGATTCATCGGCTTTTCTCTTTCTCTTTTTCTCTCGTCTTGTATCTTTTTCATACTCTAGGACATCTGAAATGCCTAGAGCCCTCTCTTCAAAGTAATCAAAATCATCTCGAGTTTTTGTAATCAGATTAATTAATAAATTGTATTGTTGAATAACTGAAAATACATCAATTTCTACACTCTGCAGTTTTTTATTCACGGCATTCATTCTGCTCAGTAAGAACCCCCACAAAACTATCATAAACTATCAAAACTATCATCACGAATCAAATTGAGCGAATGCGTTGCACACAAAATGTATTCAGCTTGTGGGGAAAGTCTCTTAATTTGTGCTTGCAGCCCGTTGTAAATGCCACTCATATTTGAGGCATTATCGTAAGACTGCCCGCGGCAATTCTCAATGTCAATCCCAAATTTTTCCAATGATTCAATAACAGCGCCAGAAATTTTCTTTGCGGTATGACCTACATTAGGAATAAATTCGAGAAAGCGCTCAATAGGCGAGCCGTCATCTTGTACATAACGAATGATTATTGTTAATTGATCGACATGAGATAAATCAGGCGTAGAATCGACAATAATTGAAAAATGTTTTGCTGCCTGTATTTCTTCAACGATAACGTTTGTCATTTGTTTTGCCATTAATTGTATGAATTCTTCGCAAATCGTAGACGAGAGGTAACTTGTATGACCACTGCCTGGATTGCCACATCTCGAAATATTATCAGCTAAAAATGGATCAAATTCTGCTATGAGTTCTAAGGACATTAGGTAATTGCCATTATACACCGATCCGAATTTTTCATTGTCTCCTCTAAAAGGAAGACCCCTTGGCACAAGTGCTTTAATTGTAGCTACTACACGTTTTAAGACGTTCTTCCAGTAAGAAATCTCTTCGTCGAGTTGAGCTGTAAGTTTTTTATCAATGCGACCACAAATACTTCCTCTTTTCTTCAAACTCAAAGCACATAATTTATGTTCCAACGAATTTTTATGTGATACAACACGACTGGAAGCATTTTTTTAGTCATTAAATCCTTCTTTACAAGAAAATTGAGATTTAACATTGAATGCGAGATATGGTGCACAGTACACTCGTCCTGTACTTTGAGAATATACTAGCCAGTTACGAGGTCTTTTTTCACCATTTACATGGACGTGCTCGAACAAAGATTTGGATAAATAACGGACTGTATTATCTTCATACGTTCTCTTACTCAGAGGAAAATCCGTACTAATATTTTGTTCAATGCCATGAATAGCTAAATGATCTCGTAGGTGATTGTTAATTATCCATACAGCGGGATCAGTGATCATGACGAATTGATCCTCTTGCACCTCCAAGAATGCTAAATATTTAAATTTATTAGTTAATAACTTTTAATTCAACTTTGAAAATTTTTATTTGCATCAAAATATTTAAAAACTAAGTTGTAATTTTGAGTCATACCGTAGTTTTCAAAATCATTTTAATAATTTGTATTTGAATTGTACCACAAAAATTAAAAATATGTATAATTTTCTAAAAAACTGTAAAAAATACATTTTAAACTTTTACTTATGAAATAATACAACAATATTGAATACTTCTTTTATTAAAAAAAAAAATTACATAACATGAACAACTATCGATTAGATCAGCTATATTTTTATTAATTTGATTATAACGATGAATAGTACCTCACGTTCTTTCGGTGGATCTGGAAGGATAGGTAAAGTATCTACAGGTAAACTCGAAGAAGATTCAGACATTAAATTTTCTGTAGGATTAGCAGGAGTAGTCATCTCAGCAATTAAAATGGGTCTTTCCAGATGACTCGTACTATCATTTTTTTTTTCTTGTGGTATAGTAACAACGAACGAATCGAGTTTACGTTTTTTTTTAAGATTTCATTGTTTCTTTCCAAAGATTCTTTCAAACGCTTTCTATTTTGTGACTCACTTGCTTTTTTCTGCACACTCATTTTGATATTTATGATGTGTAAATTGTAACACCGTAAAAAATATCGTCTCACTGCCGGCACTGCTGCACAAGTAAGTTGCTTACGGTTACTAGGGTTAGCACTGACAGCCCACGTGCGTTCAATATATAAATATATATACACATAAATGTTTTGGGTTCGTTCGGGAGATAAGAATGGTCTGGCTGGTCCAGATCGTCCACTCAGTTTCTTATGTGCACGTTCCAATTTCGGAATTTCAGCGCCCTTAAAAAATTTTGCGCCCTAGGCAGTAGCCTACACTGCCTATAGGTAAATCCGACCCTGCTTATAATACAATAAAAGAGGGGGTTGGCGCGCGGAGCGCGCAGGAGGGCGGAGCCCCACTAGTATATATATATATACACATTTGTTAAGAAGGAAGTTCGACGTCTGATGACTCTGAAAAGGACCGGTGAGCTTCTTAAGTAAACTCTTTCATGACTGAAGTTTCCAGTAAACGTAATTGCATCTTTACCTCAGGATGATCTTCTCTGGCCTTTTATTACAACATTATACTGATCGGGAGGAAAACTACAACGTTTGAAGCTTTGGAGCTTGTTGTAGAGCTCTTTCATAACGTCTCCTGGTATAACGACAAAGACGTTGGTGTCTAAAGCACCTTTTTTTGCTGACATAATTGTTGTGGTGATCTAATGTAAAGAGATTGGTTCGTGATGCTTGCCCCTTGGAGACCATCCCGTTGGCTCAAGTTTATTTTTTCTTTATAGCTGTTCGGTTCTCTCAGGGTAGACCTTGGAGAGGATCGGTGATTCCTGGTTAAATGCTTAGAGTCTAGAGGGTAATATAGGGTCGTTGATCAAGGGGATTCCCGCCCTTACGACAAAAAACTCCTCTCGTAACGTCTGCCAGTGAATGACTGACTTAGTTTAATACTGGACGGCTTTACATAGTCTTTTCGTCGACGAATCGTTTCCGGAAATGGTAGTAAAAATGTATTTGTTGTCAAGGTAGTTTAAACTTAGGTGGTTCTTAAAAGAACCGATAATATTGATGGTTAAGTAGGGAACGTAAATACTGATAATAGCGCTGAAAAGGGCCAGTGGAAAAATTTCCAGTTATTCCTTTTATCATTCTTGATGATGGAGAGCTAGCTGTGGGTAGTAGCTTGACTCTTATCCTTGGAGTCTCTGTGTACGGAGACGGTACTGGAGGAAGGTACGCCATTGACTAAAGAATACATCGTCTCCAGGTCGTTCCCCAGATAATCAACCGATCATCGTTAGTCGGAAAAATGGGCCAGGAGAGTACTTTCTCTGTAGGTACGCCGTTGAGATGACAACTAAGAAGAAGGCCGTTTTGGCTGCCTGTACTCTTCACGGCTGTCTTACTTAGCTTGCATTCGAAGTAGAAAATTCTCTGACAGCTCCAGGCCGGATGGTTGAACAGCCACAACATTCTTCAGTGTTACAGCAGGATGTACTCTAGCTAGACACGTTTCCTGGTATTCCCTTATGGAGACGTTGACTTTTTGAATGCCTATTTTTTTGCGGCACTTGGTTAACTTGCCGATCCGGGATAAAAACTGATTTATTTCGCTTGCCCATGAAAAAAGAGGGTCATCGGTAACCAAGATGCCCAGCTGCACGACTCACAGCTCTGTTCTTGGTGGACTGCTGATAAACGACCATGATAATTGATAACTCGATGGGGCGTCTTATAACCACTTTTCACTATCTTTGATTGCGGGTTGCTTCAATTTTACTTTGACACCACCTAGCGGATCCTTCTGAACTAAAACGCAAAGCTACCTTATGCTAGCAAAACCTTTGAGCTTATTTATCGCTATTGTTATTAACTTGTTTAAGAAAAAAACTATACGAAAACCATCTCGGAATCATCAAGAATCAGTATGCGAAATTTCAGCAAAATCGGTTCAGTCGTTTTTGCGGTTAGCGATTACAACGGTTTTAGTGACTTTGCTTTATATATTAGTAAGATTCGTGCACACAGTATGATTAAAATTCATTATTTTGGTATATCAAAAATATGAATTTTGACAAGGATGAGCCATCGAATCCTATAAAAAGCAAATGATACAAGTCATGTTTTGTTTTGCAAAATTCAGTAGCTTTTCAAGGAAACTAGTCATATATTGGACATCATAACTGATCCAGTACTGACAAACAATGTTATTTTTTTCTAAATTACTGTTAATGACATATAACAAACCTTCACTATGACTCACTGCTTATATTTGTACTATAATTTAAGCTGTGTATTTGAGTGCTATTTTTACATTAGATACTTAATTTCTTATAGTTTTTCATGATTTTGGATATTTTATTTCAACAATAAAATCTTTACCAACATTACCTGGTGATGCACTATCGGGTGAATCAATACAAGTTTGCATTTTTGGACGATGTACCCTAGTTTTTCACTTCAATAAAACTTCATTTTCTAAACTTTTTACTTGTATCATACTGGATGATTAATACTTTTTTAAAGCACCTACTACTCTTTTGAGTAAGCTTTCATCTAAAATTTGACAGTTGGCAGTTTCATGAATGACAGGTGCCATTATTCTATATCTCAATTTATACCACAATAAATTGTCACTTAGCTGCTGAGTATTTATTTCTATTTCTTTGCACACATAATCATTTAATTTTTTTAAAGCTAGTTCCAAAAAGTTTGTAACGTTGCTTCTCTACTCTACTAGCAACAACAGAAGTATCTGCTGAATTGATAATTCATACAGTTCTCTGTTTTTCAATTCCATTGCATACCTAGAAAGATGAATATCCACTTGATTCTTTTTCAGCTCTTTAACGACGTTTTTAAAAAAATGTTACATTCTGAAAATGTGAGGTCAGGTTCATCAAAAACAGAATTCTTTACGTGACTGCATAACAGAAATTTTTGTTTGGTACCAACTCCTGATCAGACTGATTTCTTCCAATAGCACACAGTTTTAGTTGTAGATTTTTCTTGACTCTGACGATAAGCCCACTTTTAAAACAGGTATGCGTGACTACACTCACTTATACATCAAAACAAAAGTAAAAACTCAATGAAGCTCTATTATTTTTCTCATTAGAGCCCCAGCTGTAGCATAGCTTAGAAATTGTGCATTTTTGATTACCCTGAGTATTCTCTTCATCAATGAGCAGTAAAATAGAATAAATTGTACTACGAACTTTGTGTTCTATACAAATCTAAGATCTCAGGGTACATAAGTGACCTTCTCTCTTGACACACACGTAACCTATAGAATTATGTCCATAACTTTCTCTCGCAGATCTTTATTTGAGGGAAACAATGGTTGTTCAATAAAAGTGAATTTAATAAAGCTCAAGACATTTTCTTATACTGCAAATTTTAGTCCTCATACTTTTAGTGCATTAAAACGATCATAATTTGTAATGAAGTCAAAAATCATTCCCTCATCCACTACTGGAAGATTCCTTGAGTCAGCTATAGTAAAGTTGGCTTCTAATTTATTAGCCATCTCTAAACTTTTACAAATCAGCGTAAGTAGTATTGTATGGAAATATATTTTTGATATGTATATAAATGGGTTCAAGCAACTTACGATCTCTATTTTCGCACTTAGCGCAAAAAAGATCTAGAAAATACAAGAAAATAAATTAAAAATCATATTTTATTATCTTCTCCAGCTTAAAAGAAGATTGTTTATGAATTCATGACATCACAAAAGACTCTGCCAATAAGTAGCATTTTCGGGTCCACGGGATAAAATCAAATTTTCCATTTCGAATAATTATTTTTGCAATGAAAATAGCATCAAAAACTCTAGGAAAAAAAATGTAATAAAAATCAGGGGTCTAATTCAGAAAACAATTAATTCCGAATTTATGAGAAATGCTAATTTGAGGTGTAACTTTACAGACGCATCACACAAAGTTGCATTTATAAGGAAATAATGGGTAGAAATTTTCCAATTTCTTTTGCATGATAGATAATTATGAGATAAACTAATTCAATTTGCAAATGGATCCACCTGTAGATACTTTAATATAATGAGAAAGAAGGGATCAAGTATGCATAAAAGCATATACGTAAGAATATCCATTTGACGAAATTAATTGCCGGAATTGCTGCATAATTGCGCTCCTCTCACCTCTCTCAACATTCATCCTGCTAACTGTAATAAAGGTCCTTCGGTAAAAAAATTATGCTAGTCCTGAATGAGAAATAATAAAACAATAAAAAAATAAAAAAATCAATTAATGTACTATATATTAATGAATATTTATCTAGTTCTCATTAATTTGTTACTTTTTATATAAATAAATGATTAAATGAATAAATAAACGATTTTTCATACAATTTTTGTATTTGTTTCATAGTTTTATAAAAAATTTTTAAGCAATTAATAATTTTTCTCGAAAAAAAGTTTTTGTTTGTTTAGAAAAATTAGGTAGAATAAAGAATCAAAGTTAAAAAAAATTTGTTTCTCACTGTATGTGCTGTGGTGGTGTGGTGTACTGTAGGGTGGGGGGTTTGCAAGATAAAATAAAAAATTAACTTTCATTGCACATTTTCTTGAGGCCACTCATCTGAAATTATTAGTTTTAAAAATTTAAGATTCTAATTTTCTATACCTTTCTATTTCATTGATTGAATGGACAGACTTTCCTTTTAAGTTAGCGTATTGTATGTTGACATGCAGAGCGTACGGGGGGTGGAGCCCCACTAGTATACACATATATATCTTCCTATTTTACACAGTTCTCTCGGTGGGATTGTCTACAACCCCTCCACCAAGATTTCTTGGGGGAAAAAAAACAATAGCATCGAAGTCAGCCGAAAAATAAA